CTCCATGGTAAATTGTCGATATTTTCGGGGTGGTCCAGCCACGTCACAGCGTGCAGGGGGGATGAGTGGCGCCACGAGGTTTAGCCGCATCAGAGTCGATAAAATACAGTGATTGTTTTTGAGGTCACCCAAAGTTAGACCGAAAGTTACTTGGAATATTGATGATTTTAACTTTTTTCCAATTTTATAATTAATGCAATTTATTTATGTTTCCTAAATTTTTGTTCAATCGTTGTGATTATTTTTTGTTTTACAAAATAAAAAATGATGAGTATTTGTAATTAAAAACATTTAAAAGTTGGTACAAAATTTAAAAGATCGGATTACAAATTAAATTTAAGACACTTTTTGTTGAAGTTTAAATTTAATCCTTTAAAAAATTAAAACTAGATTTCATTTTAAAGTCTTTTCATATTTTGTGAAACAAAAAAATTTTTCATGGCAAGTTAAAAAAATATGTATTTTTTTCTTGTATCAAAATTATTAAAGGTGCATTCAGTGTCAGTTTAGTCATAATGTGCTGGGGATCTGCAAAAGTTAATTTTGCAACACTAATCCAAGTTCTCGTCAGGTTCTCGTGATACTTAATTACTAAGTAAGTGAAAACGAAACGTGATTTCATTTCCTTGCAACACGAGCGCTTTGACAATTAAATGCAAAGTACCTTCAACAGCATATCAAGTGATGCACGTAAGAATTAAGTACAGATCGACACTCAAGACCCACAGTCACATGACGATGAGAAAACCTTCTTTTCTTGCTCATGATATCGTTCTCACGTGATGTGCCCGAGATGCCAAACATGAGAAGTCACAGCTCAAAAAGTCCCGGCGCGATTGCCTTGGCATTTATGCTAATCGGGATTAATCTGCATTTTCCTCCACCGACGCATAAAATTACCTTACATTTCCCGCGGCCACCGCCCTTTTATTATATATTTCGCCGCACTTTCTTTGCTTCCTCACATGTCTGACCGGTAGAAATGCTCTTCGTGAGAATAGTGCATTAGATAATAAATGGACGAGACGTTTTTCCTATCGAGTATAAAAAAATTTTTACTATAGAGTTCATTTTGCTGGTAAGATTATTTAAATGAATCTGATATTTATTTGGTTTTTTATTTATAAAATATATTAATTTTTCGTGCACTGCTATTTCATTTGTTGGGTAAGCAGCAAAGGGTCAAAGATCGCTTTGTTTTTGTTTGTCGATTCGATTAATGCAACGGTGCCAAAGCTTTTTTTGCATAATGCATGCTTTTCACCGGCGTAGAATAACAATTTAACACTTCCAATGTGTATGTTTGGCCTGCAATTAGGGTGGTGTGCACACGGCACAGAGTATAATAAATTACGTCACAGCAAGATAGTTTAACACCTGAAATAATAGACATTTGCATAGGAAAGACGCAAAAAGGAACTTAATTGATATTAATTGAAAAAAAAATGTGCAAACAATATTCTTGTAAGCTTAAGAAAAAAAAATCGAAATTTGGCTCACACCTGCAGGAGGTGCTAAAAAACTTGGCATAATGAGGATATGTATTGTGAATAATGCAAACAAATGCCACCATATTTTTCTTTCATAATTATCATCAATTTCAATGTTTAAAGAAGCTTGATTGAATTGAAATCCTTGTGTATTTAAACTTAAAATTCAATATTGAGATTGGCTTTCTAACTTGTGAAAATCAGTCACAAACAGACTCATTTCTGGACTATCCAAACGCCCAACTAAACCAATTTAGGCCACGGTCTGCAACACTATTATTTCATAATTTGGATGAAAAGTAGAAAGAAATTATAAAATTAAAATTTTTTCTCATTACATAGGGTCACAGCAGGGTGGCAGATCGTGACTGAAACTGGGGATTCAATTTTCATTTCTTTTTAAAATCAAATTCTTCATTGAAGAAAAAATTGTCTTTAATTTTATGAAAATGATCTTCAAATATTAGCCATTGTCAGCATGAACATTATATTTTACCATTAAAAACAGTTAAAATTACGCTAGAATTTTACGATCAAGGGTTGATTTATGGTGATTTGAATTTAAATTTATCTGCATAGCTTAAAAATCCGTTAAAATAATTTAGAACATCGTGGGAAATTATAAAATAAAATAAATCTGAATACTCCAGAATTGGTATAAAAAAAATCTGAAAGGCCTCAAAATTTATGTTTATATCTCAAGCTTCAAGCTATTCTAAGATTTTGAATATCACTAGTTAATTATCTTTTATATGTGATGCTACTTTCATTTTATTTATCTGTGATATGTATTATTTTCTTTTTTTCAAATTCAATATTTTCATTTATCACTTGGGCGTAATTTTTTTAAAGAAATAAAGATTTTAAATTGCTCTTTTAAAAAACGTTGGTCAATATTTTGCTTGCTGAGTCTCAAAATTTGCATATATCCTTCAACGACCAGAATATTTGATAATTAATTTTTTCACTTGCAAAAATAATTTGCTATATCAGACTGCGTCTCCATCCATGTGACAAAATTTTACTCACCATGAGATTTTACAAATAAAAAAAAATTCAATCTGGAAGGAATTAAATACAATAAAATCAATTGTTTTAACCTTGACGTGTCTAGAAAAGCAACGTCAAATCAATAAGCAGCGTAAATTTTTAATCAGCCACCTACACTCAGCGGCCAGATTTATCGCCTTCGATTAGGATGTGGGCGTTCGTGTTTCGTCCTATTATCGCCGGGGATGAATTATGAATTAGCCCTTGTGCAGTCGGAAAAGGGCTAACGGAGGGAGCCTTGTTGCATGCTCAGTTAGGTTCAGTTAGAAATTATCTCACGGAAAATCGCCACGCCACAAGTTTTCGGCCCCGCTCGACCAATCAAAGACTGCATTGACGCGATTAATTGCCACGCAGCACAGCCCTGCCGCGTGCCGATTATTATTTTAAAAGTCAAATAAGCGCGGCCCACTTTTTTACAGACTCTTTCCTGCCCCTAACCAACTCGCACGTATGCATTGCATTATTATTAGTGGGGGTGGATTTCTGACCTTTTGTCACGCTTGCAGGAATTGGTTTATGACGGCGAGAATTGCTTTATAGGCCAATTATGATTATTTATTTTACAAATTAATGTCTTCTTTTGAAATAAGGCCAATTAAAAATTAACTGGGGTACTATAAATAATGTGTACTTATTTTGTTTGGAAAAATGTATATATGTTCTACATTTTTCCCAATTGTATTCTTTGATTAATAAGATTAATTATTATTATTATCGATTATTATTATTTATTCTTCTCGGTCAATACAAAAATTTTAAATTGGAAAAAAGAGAAGAAAGGGTTTACAACTAGCAGATGTCTGCTAAAACGCCCGACATCAAAAGAGACACGGCCGCCGCGGTAAACCCACACTATCGGAGTAAAAAAGAACGATAATTAATAATAAAAAAATTCATTATATAAAAAAAATTGGTTTATTAAATTTAATTTTTAACAACTAAAACATAATATATTGAATGAACAGTATTTTTGATGGTTTAAAGTTTAAAATTTTAATTTAAAAGCATTGTAAGTGAATTTCATTTTTTAAATCAATCTTTCAATACTTTTCTAGTGAACGTTTGTTTTCAACTATTGATAACAAAAATGTATTGTTACGTTACAGTGTGGGAAAAAAACAGTACAAATAAGTTGTGAACTTAGAGATTAGCGGAGATTAGTTAATATTAAAAAACTTACTCAATAAAAAATTGCTTTTAAATTAAAAAAATTTAATTTTCTAGCAAGAAATGACAAAAAAACCAATTGGGTAAAAAACACATCTGAGAATTATATATGCTGTTTTTTTTTTTTGTAATCTTGCAACAAGTAAAAAAACTTATAATTTTTCTAATTTTCCTTTTTTTCAATAGCAAGATTTTTGTACGTTTCAAACTACTTTAAGTTTCTTAAGAACTAAAAAAAATTAATTTCAGTATCTTTTATTTGGAAATAATATTTAAAAATTAAGGTTTGTGTTGTGACATTTCAATGAAAATGTTTTGTGTTTGAAAAACAACTCGGCTGTTGTTGACATGTCGGGCAGGGCAATTGTCAATTATCACCTTTCAGACATGCACACTCACCACATTCTCTTATTAACAATTAATGCGTACTTGTCGTGCCGTCGCCCCACATTAACAGCTACTCACACCGAGTTTTTCTTTCCATTTGCACTCTTGTTTTTCGTTCCGCGCTCGTCCATTGTTTCAATTAGGCGTGCTCACGTTTCAGTAATGCTACACCCGCTTGTAAATTGCATTTTTCATTTTTTATAAATGGGGTTCTCGCTACTGCTTGACTGGGGCTACCTCTTTGGGCACTCCTGTCATCTGATAATATGCAAATGGCCCCTTAATTGGCCGAAACACAAATGCGCTAAAACACGCGAAGCTCGTTCTCCCTTCATATTTATGTACCACCTCGCTTAAACATGCACAAACGAGGCGCGATATTATACCAAAATTTTCGCATCGGCTCTTATGAAGTGCCTAAATGCCGCGCGCTCACTGACCGAGGCCTTTAAAGGTCAAGCCAGGGTTAGACTCAATTTTAAACTGCAAATACCAAGCGGCCCTACTAACGCGTCCTGTTATAATAAGATGATGTAATGTTTATAAATAGGATTATACAAAATTTATTTTAGAAATAATAACGATTTAATTGCTCTTATTTGCAGTATTCAAAAAGTCGTGAATAGAAGTTGATTATTTTCTTCTTTTCTTCAAACTGATGTAATGAAAGCGTTGAATATGCACTCTTTTTTTATAATAATAAACAAAAAATGGATTAAATTCAAATCATGAAATAGAAATTTTTGGAAATTTGGATTCCACGTTTTACGTTTAATTAAACTAGAATTTTATGGTTACACTGCGTCAGTTTTTTAATTTTTAAAACCTATTGTTTCATATTTATTAAGAATTTTGGAAGTAGAATTGCATTAATTTAGGATTGATTTGTTGAAATGTTAACAGAGTTGCACACCGAGGACAGCAATGACTACGAGTTCAATGAAGTCTCGACCACCAGCTCCAAGTGCGTCCTGCGCTTCAAGGTGAAGGCCGCCCACGACGCCCACGTGTGTCTCTCGTCCACCGAGGAACAGGACGCCACCCCTTTTTTGGAGGTCTTCATCGGTGGCTGGGACAACAGCAAATGCGCCATCAGACGCGACCGCGCAAAGCCTGACAGGGTAAGTTTTTTCATTGTAGATAGCGATTTTTTTTAATTCGTCTAAAATTTTGGCTAAACGTAAAAAAAATTTCACTTTGAAAACTTTTCTTTGGTTAAAGAAATAGATTATAATTTATTTAATTAATAGGCCGAGGCCGAGACTCCTGACGTTCTTTCTGCGGACGAGTTCCGCGGCTTCTGGATTTCATGGGACTCCGAAGGCAAAATCGAGGTTGGCCGTGAAGGCGAGGAAGAGGCCTTTTTGTCTTACGTCGAGCCCGAACCCTTCGAGATCACCCACTACGGCGTCCGCACTGCCTGGGGCGCCAACGGCGACTGGGAGATTGAAAAAGGTAACTCATTTTGTTAATTCACTTAAACTTTTTTCACTATGGAGCAGAATTTTAAACTTTTGATGGCATAACACTGAAAAGTTTTGGTTGGTCAGACAAGTTCACAACTTTGGACGGCGCTCCGTACCTGCTGGCGACGGCGCCTCGAATCGTCAAGGGCGGTTCTCTTCTTTTCAGTGTTCGCGCCCCTCACGACGCCCACGTGACCCTGACCAGCGGCCCTGCCGATGGCGGCAACCAGTACGAGGTCTTCGTTGGTGGCTGGAAAAACAGCAAGTGCGCCCTCAGGAAAAACAAAACCAAACCTGACCTCGTCGTCGTTGAAACGCCAAACATCTTAGATTCGGTACCCCTATGCACTTTTTCACTGAAAAATTCTTTTTGAATTTTTCCACATTTTGCTTGAATCAAACGCACTTCATTCGCTCATTTTTGCACCTCTATCCCCTATAGGGCCGTTTCCGAAACTTTAAACTGACTTGGAACAAAGGTCTGATCACCCTTCAGGACGAAAATGGCGCCGTCATTTTTGAGCACCAGGATGTGGAAACGATTCCCATCACGCATTTTGGCGTTCGAACTTCATGGGGCGCCCGTGGCGACTGGAAGCTGGGCGCCCACTCCAAAGGTCCGCCTCATTTTTGTTAGGAGAAAATTGTCCGTTTCTGTGTGCATGTCTAACAAGTTGCTTTTTTCGAAAAACCTTCAAAACGTGGACGGAATTTCCAGCTCGGTGTATCGCAGCGTTTGATCAACGTTTCGTGTCTCGTGATTTTTAACCAATTATGTTTTGGACTAAAATTTCCTTTGCACGCCAAACTACTTTTTCTTTCTTGTGAGTGAACGCTGTTTTGTGTTTTTCTAACATGAAAATTAGTTCCTGAGCCGGAAGGCGATGATGCTGACGGCGAGGAAAAGGAGACGGCCGAGGAAAAGGAAGAGAGTGAAGCAGGTATAATAAGATGTGCTGTATCCGATTGCATTATTTTCTCTGACTGGCATGAGAGTGAAATTGTATTTGGGTCTGCTGTTGTCGCTGCTGCTGGGTTTGGTCTATCCCTCTCTTGAAAATACATAATCCTGCTCTTATATATATTGCGTGCAAGTTGTATAAAATAATTAATCGCACCCTGTTGATTGTAATCCAGCTCTGCAAATCTAGATTATTAGTGAGTGTGTATTGTGCCCGCTGACCTTTCTTTCCATACTTCTTTTGGCACACACCCCGTACTACTTTGTTCACTTTCTTGATTTGGTGCATTGATAAAAACGAGTGCCGCATTAATTTATAAGAAAAGAAAGAAAGTGCTGACGATGAAGGATTGAGAATGATGGAACAAAACGCGAGCTTCCTGAATATTCAAATTAGACACGCGTGTATATATATGCCATGAGATACTCGTTATTTTTAGGGTAAATGCCATGCAATGTAACTTAAGCTAGAGTCACATGCAGAGTAATATCGTGTAGATTAGACCCGAAAGTCCATTTTATATGGCGCTCTGTTGTTGAACAATTTGAGTAGTCATTTCGCCCACTGAGAACATGCAGTAGAAATTAAATTTCAAAAGCAACATAAGTATGAAGTAGTGCTTGAGATAATAATTGATACTAATGTCACGAACATGCATAGTTTAGTATCACTCGTAAAACAATAAACGAAGTCAAAATGTGTTCCAATTTTGAGAGAATAATAAAATATTTACTGGTTTTACCCCTGACTGAGTTTTAAAGGAAAATAAACATTATGAATTTTAAATATGAAAATAAAATTATTAAATGAAACACTTAAAAGGAAGCTTCCTTCCTAAAATTAAAATTAAATATTTTAAATAAAAATTTAAAGAATTGACACTTTAAACTGCACGCACCAGCATTGGGAATGCCCAAACCATTTCTTCTTCTTTTTTTAATTGAAAAATCTATCCATTGCAGATCTGGAGCCCGCCGAGACTCCTGGTGAGGCCTGCTGGGTCGCTGCCACCAACGGTGAGGTGCCCGAGGGCGCTGTCTGCGGCGGCACCGATCTTGAGTGCGACCTGATGATCGCCAGGGCTGTTCACGAGGGCGAATTGCTGCCCGGAAAGTTTGTGCCCGCGCACGGTGTCACCTACGTTTCCTGGAATGGCGCCGAGCACGCTAAGGAGGAGTACGAGATGCTGTGCGGCTGCAAACCTGTGTGGTTCCAAATCAACCAGGGTGACACCATCCCCGAGAACGCGCTGCCTGGTGGCCGCACTGCTGAGGGAGAGACCCTGTTCATCGGACGTGTGCCCCATGAAGGAACTGTGACCGTTGGAAAGGTATTGAAATCTTTACCAGCTAGGAGAATTTTTTTTAAATATGCGGTTTTGACCAAGCGTTTTCAATTATTGTGTAATTTTTAAGTACTTACTTAAAATTTGTGAGATGAACAAAAAATTGAAATTGCACTAAAATCTTTTCATTTGCTCAGATTTTAACTATTTAGTTCCTTTGTAATTTTTCAATAATTTTTTGTTTGGCCTTTTATATTGGAAGCGGGTGGTGAACTGCGGAAAGGGCTGCGTAGTAGATTTTATCAGACGGAAACAATTTCATTATAATAACATGGGAATTCAATTTCAGGTGCACCCGAGCCATGGAACGTGCTACATTCCCTATGCCGGCCAGGAGCTTGGATTCCCCGACTTTGAGGTTTTGGTCCGCCAGTAAACGCTGCTGCTGGAAAAGCGCACGCACGCTACTAAATCCCGCGCGTTTGGCCCCAATATGATTAAAATAATGTGCTTTAATACTCCTTTCTGCTGCTTCTCCTATGATAAATCTATAATGATCGAGAAGAGAAATGTGGCTTTAAACCTTAATTGTAGAGTTAAAAATATTTGTATTAATTAGAGCAAAGTGTCAAAAAAGAAGCTTTCTCTGTATTATTGAAATTTTTGAAAAACCACTTACTGGTTCTGCCTTATTAAATCATGTGCTGCATTTATTCTTAAATGTTTTATAGTAGAGCGTGACTAATTTTATGCAGCTCCTACTCTGCCTTTATGAATCACAGTGGCACTTTGCGGAGAAATTATCTATAGAATTATAAAGAAAAGTAGAGTTCTTGAAGTTTTAGAGATTTTTTTGTTGGCGCACTCTGTTCCAATGTGATGTTTTAAAACAAGAAAGGCATGAGAAGAAATATGCACAACTAGAGCATTTTTAATAAAAATCAAATTACACGAATTTTGATGTATGGTTATTCAAAAAATTGTCTCTTATTTATATTTCCTTGATAAATTCAAATCGTTAAATTTTAAATTATTATATTTCTTTTGATCCTCATTCAAATTCCAGATTTTAATTTTTAGGACATGAAAGTAAAAAATATATATTTTTCTGAAATCAAAATTAAAATATATATGATAAACATACAGATCTCATCATCATCAGATAAATATGGTCTCCATACCTTGCAAAATAAATTATCAAGCTCGTAAGGTGCAATTTAAAGTGAACTAGAAATTTTATTTCAACTAAAAAGTTCACAGCAATCAATTTTCTCTATAATGGAAAAATCTATAGGATAATAAATATAACACAGTCAGATTACTGGATTTCATTTTAAAAATATATTTATTAAAGCACGTTTACAACGCAAGAAGCACGCTTACAATTTAGCACTCAGCACTAAATTTAAAAAGAAGTATTTGCATTGAAATAAAATTACAACGCAACCTTTTCTGAATCGAGTGTGTTATGTAGAACAGGGAGATCTCATATTTTTGAAGACTATAATATGAAGCATACAAATTAAAAACTAATTAACAAGACAATCTCGCCAAGAGGACTGTGTTTTACCATAAGACTTGGTTATTTTCACCTCCAGTTGGCGACGATCTAATAAAACATGCAACTCAATCTAGGTTACAAGGAACAAGCGCGCGGACCCCATAGGACTGGAATGTTTCATGAACTCAATGAACTTAAAAAGTTACTAAATCACAGACTTGACTTTTTTATACAGTTAGAAGAGTTAGGAAAATATGAAAAACTAGAGAAAGTTTGAAATAATGAACATTTAAAAAAAAAATGAAAAATTAGAAATTGCAAGAAATAGGAGTATGAATTCAGATGTAAGAATATTTCAGAGTTTAACCTCCGAACTGGAAAGAGTATCCGTCACCGAAGGAGTGGGGCTTGGAAGGGTCGTTGTACTTGTCCTCTTGGTAGTCGCCGTCGTCACCGTCGTCGTGGCTAGAGGCGGCGGCCTGATAGTAGGGGGCGCCGTGGTTGTAGGTCTGCGCGGGCTGGTACTGCTGGTAGGGTTGGTGGGCGGCCTGAGGGGTGGCCGGGACGGGGTGGATGGGCTGCACGGGTTTGGGCAGGTGGTCGCCCTGCACGTGGAAGCCGTTCTTGTCGGCCGTGTAGTGCACGGTGATGGTCTTTCCCTTGGGGTCGACGTAGCTGTACGAACCGACCCTGCTGCCGTCGGGCGCGATGCTCTCACCCTGCTGGAGTCCGTTGTCGGCCGCGAATGAGTATTTGAAAGAGCCATCGTGACCCAGCGCCTGCTTGTGGCTCAGGATGTTCACAGGGGGCTGCTTGTATTGTCCGTCGTAGCCGCCTCCACCGCCGCCGTGGTGCTGGCCGCTGGCCACCGACGCCACCATGGCCACAAAAACGAATTTCTATAAAAAAAATTGAATTATTTTAATAAAAACCTAGGCTTGTAAATAGTACAAAATAATCAAGGAGAACATATTTTTTTTACTTAAAAGTGAGGATAAAATAATTATGTTAAATATTACATCGTCGAGAAGTAATAATATATATTTTATTTTGAAATAATTATGCTTCAAAGTATTATTTTTTAACCAAACAAATGTGAATAAATTTTATTGAGAAAAGACTGATTTGATTGTTTTTATTCTCCAAAGTATTTTATTTCTTAAAAATAAAATTAAATTCAAATAAAAGTAAAAGCAAAACCCCTTTCATCAACTTTCTACTCATGCCTGAAACCCAGCCCTTTCAAGATTTGTGCAACAAAAATTCTCCTCTTTTCATAATTTTCCCTTACCACTTCACAAAGTTAGCAAAATTTAGAGTATTTAATTTTTTAATATCTATACAATTGATTTCAATATTTAGAGAAATTTTAAGACTGAAACAATAATTATCCATTTTCTAAATCTATAGAGACCAAAGCTATCAATTAAAAAGCATCTCAGCATCATATAGTAATAAATAATACCCGACTCTCAATTAAAACTCTTTATCTGCAAAAAGTAAAAGTAATATCACTTTCATGCACGTGTTTAGTCGGTGAAGTGGAACTAAAAAAATGAGGCGGCGCATTATCACTCGAAAATCTCACGCTTAACGCGTTCAATTTCACAGTTTGCAGAGAAATGAACCGTTTAGAGCAGGCGTATGTTCGCGGAAAAAATGCTCATAGAATGGTCAATGTGTGTGATGAAGCAGATGAAAATCGGTAGAAAGCATGAAAAGTGAACTTTTTGCATCAACCCATAGAGTTCCGCGTACGAGTGACCGCAGTGCCAGTCGATATTAATATTCAGATCAATTACACATGACTGTCTTATAGCTTTTCCTTCTACTTATGTTCTCGGATATTAACATTATCCTGGCTTCAAAAACCAATTGCAAAACTGTTGCGAATAATTATCAAATGTTATCATAATCATTTGGAATAAAAATTGTTTTAGTTTTTATTTCCAGTTCCTACTTTTTCTTTAGCTGATAACACTAAAAATTAATTAATCTAATTGAATCTAATATACTGAGCGGAAAAAGAACTAACAAATTAATTTACTAAATTTTAATTTATATACAGTAGCCTGCAAAAATATAATTATTATAATATTGGATATTGATTGTTAACATTTATTAAGTGCATATTTTAACTTATGAAAGAAAGAAAAAATCAAATTATTTGATATCATAATATAAAATTATCAACTAAAATGTTATTTTTTTAGGCCAAAAACATTAGAAGTCCCAATTTAAGAAATAAATTTAAGAAGGTGTAAGAGTTTGCACTTATGTTTTCCTGCTGGAAATTTTGCCTAATAATAAAACTTCAATCATAGTAAAATTTACAAATACATAAAATTGCGTAAAATTTGACTTACCCAGGAGTGCATGTTGACTGTGTGGCTGATGCAGGGATTGAGATGCATGTGTCCGACGTGCCGTCCACTTTTATACCTCTCCACTGAAGGGGAAAGCGTTTCACTCGTACGCTGCTCTGTCACAGAAGAGCGAGCGCGGGCGGTAGAAGGCCCAAAATGCGTTTCTTCGCCGCCCCGACCTAGGCCAATCAAAGCCATTATCATGCTCACTCACTCATTTCACACCGGAATGCATTTGTCTATTTCCTCACAATGCAACACAATATCTCACTGTACCAGCTGCCGGTCGAGAATGCGGAACCCGATTATCGACAGAACCATACAGCGCCGCCGATGACTTCCTGATCGTTTGCCAAACTTGTGCGAGTGTTAACTTTTTGCACCTTTTTACATCACTTGTTTTCTTTTCAGGCCGACCGGAAATTGGAGGACTGTTTGTTGTGAAATGACCGATGAATTATTGGCCTCGCACCTCGCGCGATGATGTATAAAATCTTCTAGTTGATTATTTTTTTAATTTATAAGTACAAAACAAGTTTATATTTAATTCTTGTTTCGACTTAATGATCAATTATGAGTGATAAAATATTAAGAAAAATTTCAATTTTCAAAATGTGATTTTCAAATGGAAAAAAATGATTTGGAGCAAAATAGGAAATTTAAACGATTTATACTTAGAAAGTACTTCGGCAAAGTAATACAAATGAAAAAAATAATAATTAATATTAATGACATTGAATTCTTCAGCTAATTTAATAGACTGATATCATTTCAAAATATCAGATCAGATCATAATATTGTCTTTTTAAATCAAAATCAGTGAATTAACAATGCAGTCACAATATTTCTGTCTTGAATAGTTTACAAATAATAATAAATTCCACTCAAATCAGGCCATTTTCGGAATTCACATCGGGTTTCAAAGGTCAGAAATTTATTGAATTTGTGCGTATGGTTTTATATTAAGCACACTTATTTAATTTCTATCTTAATTATATTTTTAAAAGCCAAAGTCCCCCGTCCCCCATCCCATATACATTATGGCTGGATTGACTGGAAATTCCAGGGGTCAAGGGCCCCAAAGGGCCCCCTGGCCAGAGTATCAATCTCACTACTTGTACTTAAATCCATAATTTATTTTATAGATAAAAGATTTCTAGTAGACCTTAACTTACTTCTTTTCATCAGCTGAGGTTAACTTATTTCTTTACTTGTCCGAGTATCAAACAAATTTGAAATTTATTTATGTATAATTATCGCTCAGTGTAAAAAATAAAGACCACTTTACCCTGGTTACAATTCAGAAAGCTAAGCCTGAAGAAAAAAATCGGCGGCTGCCCTCTGCATTTGTTTCAAAACTTTCACATAATGAAAAAAAAGTGTGACAGAAAGTTATGATCAATTAAACAAATTATTTTCACGCTTAAAAAAACTCGAAACAGATATGCGTTTGTTTATATAACTAAAAAAGTAATAATACTGTATTACGCTGACCGCTGTATTAAATTTAAATAGAAAAACAGTAGGGATGGGTGGGGTGTATAATTTTCAGGGGATAATAACCTAAATCTACGCCTCTGTGTATCTCAAATTTTCAATTAAAATACGTGATTATTTTGTTGAATATGCAGGTTCAATTTGTTGGAATTGTTCGACTTATACGACCCGATTCGCGCCAAAAGTATGCAGGACGCAGATAGTTCTCCTTATTTCCGTCAGGGGAATTATGTAAACAAACATTTTCGGAATTTTCGGACTCTGGATTATAATAATTTCTCTTGGCTCTCATTATTCTCACAATGAATTAATTGTCAGCTGCAATTTGTAATAACTTTCCATGAAAAAGCACTTGGATTTTTACGCCGTTTGGAATTTAGTTTTCGTTTTGTTTCTGGTGTCTGTCATGGTTTACATCACGTTCGTCGGCTTCTGATCGAGTGAATCACCCTCGGCTTATCTCGCTTTTGGGCAAATAGTGGATGTTACGTAACAAAAAAACCATCCTTTGGCTGCTGCTGCCCATCCTTTTTGCGTCCTTCGCCTACCGAGACCAAACCATGTCCATCTACCGCAGGACCGTGTGGTTCATCAAAGGCATGCGCGAGTACACCAAGTAAAACGAAAATTTTTTTATTAAAAAATTCTAAAATTTTAATGAAACGTACAGGTCGGGTTACGAGGCGGCCGCGAAAAACTTCAAGGAAGAGGACCTGAAGGTTGACTGCTCTGGAAAGTCTTATATGATCACAGGTATGCGTTCAATTTTAGAAATAAATTTTTTAATGAAAATTTGTAAAGGTTCGAACAGTGGCATAGGCAAGAGCATGGCCTTGGAGGTGGCTAAACGAGGAGGCACCGTCCACCTGGTCTGCAGAAACAAAACCGCCGCTCAGGAGGCGTGCGATGAAATCAAGACCTCCACAGGAAACAATGTAAATTTTCCTTAACTTAATGTAGATTATAAAATCAGAGTGGGATTTCTTGTTACATAATGAATAGAGGAAATTAATTTTAAGTGCATAATCCAAATTAACTCAATTTGCATGAAAATTTAACCAAAAAATTCTGAACCGAGATTCAGAGCTTTAATAGATGGCTTCTAATCTGTTGAATTGCCACTTTAAAGTTGCATATAATTTTTTTGGTATCTTATTTCAATAATTTTAATTGTTGGTTTTAACCTCACCTCAGAATTTGGTCGCTAAAAATTAAGTTGGTGACCAAAAGGCAAGTTCGCTCTTTTACTTTGTGAGATTTGATCAAATTCCGTTTTCTTTATCCTGGATTGGAATTTTTTAATTAAACAGAGGGTTAATTTATTTAAATGATAAAAACAATCTCGTATTGACTGCTTTTCCATTAATTTTTTAAGCTATGAACTTTCAGGAGGTTTAATGTTAATTCTATTTAAATTATTACTTATGTCTGATCGAATTAAATAGTTTTCGTAACTTTTCTTCATCTTTGGGATATTTTTAGTTGTAAAGAAACCCACTTAAAAAAAATATCGTTTTATTGCAGAATGTTCATGTGCATGTCCTGGACGTGTCCAAACCAAGAGACGTCATCAATTTTGCACGGAGTTTCAATGAAAACCTGGACGTTTTGGTAAAAATAAAAAAATTAATATTTTCTTGAAAATCTAAAAATCCATTTAAGGTGAACAATGCAGGGTGCATGGTGCACACAAGGGAGGTGGATGCCGACGGCCTGGAGCGAAATTTCGCCACCAACGTACTGGGCACCTTCCTGCTGACCAAAGCCCTGCTAACCCGCCTTGAACAGCAAGTTCTTGAGTTAACCTTGGTTCACCCCTTTGACCTTTTACTTGCAGGTCGTCGGACCCAAGGGTGGTCACCGTGTCCTCAGGAGGGATGCTGAACCTCAAGCTGGACCCCGAGGACCCGCAGTGTGCCAAGATGAATCCCTTTGAGGGCACCATGGTCTACTCGCAGAACAAGCGTGGCCAGGTGGTGATGACTGAGCACCTAGCCAGGGCGCACCCCGCCGTCCACTTCTCGTCAATGCACCCTGGGTGGGCCGACACCCCTGCCGTGCGCACTTCAATGCCCTCCTTCCACAATGCCATGAAGAACAAACTGCGCTCACCCGAGCAGGGCGCCGACACCGCCGTCTGGCTTGCAATTTCACCTGCGGCCAGGAAGCAACCTTCTGGCCTCTTTTTCCAAGGTTGGTTGTCGTGAGACTTATCATCATCAAATATTTATTAGACACAAGTGTGTACAACATAAAAAATGGTAATAGTTACATAGTTTATACAAAAATTTACTTATTACAACTTTTCCGAGCAACTTCTAACAGGCTTATTTTATTTACACTGCATTCAAACAAATGATATAAGCCAACTATGCATCCGCATTTTTCGCATAAACATTCATTATTTGTGTTTGTGTGATAATTTTTATTTTTGCAATAAATGAAATGAAAACCATGGCAGGCATATCTTGTGAAAGCGTGCCTATTAGCAAAGCATGGTTGCTTCCAGCTCTGGTTATTCATTGCGGGTGTGTCATAGAAATTAGGATCAATTTCAGAAATTTTGAGAATTTGATTTTCTAAAAACTTTTGATAACTCTCGGTATCAGGGAGCTCAAATTTCTTAATTAAATCCGACACCAAAAAAGTTGAGTCGGCTACGGTCGGCTAGCTCATAGACCAATCTGAACTTGGTGAGTTTCGACACTTGCAAGGCTCTCTTCAGGTATCGAGACTTAGCTTTTTCAAGTGTGTTCAAATCATTTAAAGTTAAGTAAGGCCAAATTGCTTCGATCCCATAAGTTGCTATTGGCTCAATGGCAAGTTCAAATAATTTTAGAGCAGTGTCGAGCGAGGACTTTGGCAGAGCGTTGTAGTGGCTGAGGCGCAGATCGCTGCTTTCACTCTTTTATTAACGTGTTTGGAAAATGAGAGGCCTGAAGTTTGGAAAGTCACTCCGAGATAGGAAAATTCAGAGACAAATTCAATTGTTTCATTTAATATGGTAAGAGAATTTGACTTTTTGTATCTACCTCTGCCTTTTTATTTCTGAATTTCAAGATTTTACATTTTGTTAGATTCAGTTGCAATTTTTTTGATTTTAGGCACTCGATCATTTCAAGTACGGCAGATTCCAAATCAGATAAACTCTCCGAGACCATTGCCACATCATCTGCATAGTAGATTAATTTAATATTTGGATATTTTTTTAAAATTTCTTGCAAGTCAGCAATTGCGAATATAAAAAGAAAAGGAGAGAGACTACCTCCTTGTCTCACGCCATTTGATTGAACAACTGGGTCTGATTGGCCGACAAAAATTTAACTCTAGCATTACCGTTAGTAAATTTAGTTCATTGAGTGAAAACTTTTTGCAATTTATTAGTTTTTCAACAATTATTTTTCTGTCAATTGAATCAAATGCCTTCTTCAGATCAAGAAAAAATGAATATAATACCGTTTTATTTTTATTTACAGTTTCACTTATTTCATCAATTAAATATTTTACAGCCTCAATAGTTGATTTTCCTCTCACAAAGCCAAATTGATTTTCGGGAATTGTTTCAATCAGATTAGAGTACACTCGGTTTTTTAGGACTCTATCAAGGAGATTATACAATGAGCAAGTGAGGCTGATGCCCCTGTAATTATTTACATCTGACACACTGCCTTTACCTTTGTATAAAAGTTTTTAATTTGATGTTTTCTATGATTTTGGTACTTGACCTTTTTTCAGGCAGATATTAAAGAAGGCAGTGATTTCAGATGCAAGAGAGAGCCATAGATTTTTTAATGTTTCATTTCTCAGTGAGTCTGGCCCAGATGCCTTGCGATTTTTTAATTTTTTAATTGCATATTCAATTTCGTCTTGTAAAATTTCTTTGTGGGCTTCAGGACTTTTATAGTTAGAGAGCAAGCCTTTAACCTTTAAGCCCAAGAGGCTGATCGGCCTTGAGCTTTTTTTCATTAAGAATGGTCTCGAAGTGATTTTCCCACCTCGTTAGTTCAATATCATTAGCAACTTTTTTAAGACTTTTATTCTTGAATTTTAAAAATTGATGACACTTTTCTTCCGCCTCTATAATTATTTTGTTATCTAATCTCTCTTGATGCTCTGCTTTCTTTAACTTCCACATTTTTCGATAATCTCTTTTAGACAGTGAAAATATATCTAAAATTTCATTTTCCTCCTGAGCACATCCACTTATAAATTGGAGAGAGTCGATAAAATTTTTGAGGAAATTTAAATCTTGTTTTAGCAAATGGATAAATTTATTTGCACCAAATTTTGGTGTCTTGAATTCCCAAGAGCTTATTCGCACCAATTTTTTTTTCATGCCTTGGTTACTACATGAATATAATTTTTATTATTTTAAGTACTGCACCGATTGCAGACAATACCTGTTGTAGGCAACTCCGTTATGGGTTTGTGAGCTTCGGGCTGGAGGCGCGCTCGCCCGAGCACGTGGTGAAGGCCGGCTCCGGGCGGGACAAAAGGGCGGGGATCGTGGGGGGCTCCGCGGAGCCCCCCCCCCACGAACACAGCCGCCCTATTGTCCTCGCCCTCCGCACGGCCTTCCCCACGTCCTCGACCTCGCTGCGCCTCCACCCCTCGCTCGCGGCTTTTTCAAAAATTAATCTTGGGGGTGGCCCAACTCCGAGTTGCCGGTTTGTGGGATGCCTACAACTCCGTCTGCGTGCAGTCCGAATAATTTTTTTTATATGTTTATAATGTCGATTAATGATAATTTTGCCAATAAATACATTCCATAAATCAATGATTATAAAAAAAACTCCCAAAAATTAATGGCAAAAAAAATTAGGTCATTAGAATTTGAACATGTAACATGCAGATTTCCATACCATGTCTCTGCCGCTATACTACACCGTGTCGCTGCCTGACTACACAATTTTTTTGTATCCAAATTGGGGCTGGGTGGGCGTGTCAAAGAGGCGGGGGAAAAAAATTGGTGCGAATAATTTCTTGGGAATTCAAAGCACCAAAATTTGGTGTAAATAAATTTATTCTTAGCAAGGATAAGGATATAGCATTCTGAATCAAACCAATCTTGGCTAGTTCTTTGTTTACTCTTCACTGGGGTCTTAGACTCCTGAACCAAATTCTTAATATTTTGATAGAAACTTTTAAAGTCCTCGCTCATAATATTTTCTTGCAATTTCTCTTTATATTCGCTGATTTTAGAATTTAGTAAGTCTAATTTAATGAATGTTTTTTCTTCGCAAATTTGATTCTCTTGTGCAGAACTGTGAGACTTATAAAATTTAAAAAAAAATTTACATTTTTCTAAGAAACTTTAATGGAAAAATGAATTCTGATTTATATGTAATATCTATGCTAAAAATAATGTTCAGTTTTAATGAAAATTTCATTTATTTAAATCGAAGTCACAAAACTTTTTTTACGTCTTGAAGGCTATTGAAGGCTTCACAACTTTTATAATTTAGATTTATTTTGCTTCTGTGCTCTTATAGGATATTAATTTACTATTCTGATGCTAATGTCTTTTTGCTCTTGTAGTAAATTAAAATGAGTTATCCCTGCTTGTCAGACGTGAGACCAACCGAGACCCACCGAGTCAATTTTTTCATTGATTTTTTTAAAAATTCCAACTTACATTATTAACTTTCAAAAATGTATGTCTCTCATCAGCTTATATTTATCAAGAAAAGATTTAAAAAAAAAAGCAATTTCATTACTACCTGTTATTAACTGCAGAATTTTAAGTCGAAATAATGCTAAAACCGTTTATATTCTGAAGTTCATATGACAATTTTTTTCAATATGTACTATATTGTTGCATGTTTGCTCTACTCATTTTAAATAAAAAATTTATCACTTTACTTTCGATTCTTTTAAATAAGAAAACTTAAATAACGAAACAAGTTTTTTAATTTGTTATTTATGAAATTTTGTTTCCTGTGATTAACAAATTGTTAATTTTCAGACCGAGTGGCAGTTTCAACGCATTTACCGTTGGCCTGGACCAAGTCGACGCCTGAGGAGGAAAAGGCGTTCATGCAGACCCTTGATGACTTCTGGCACAAGTTCAACAGGTCAGATTGAAACCCAGTACTGATTTATATGTACTTTTTCTATTTACCATTCATAATTTGTGATTTCAGTTTAAGCTATTTGTATTTTAATTAATTGAATTTAGCTTTGTGCAAATCTGGTGCTAATACATAAGAAAATGAAAGTTTCACATTGAATAAATCAAATAAACAAAGATAATGTTCATATAAATTGAAATAAATTTATTTCATTTCTTATTAATTACAAATGACTAGTCTTAGTTAAATATATTTTTTAATGACGTATTACAATTTATTTAATAATTTGAAGTATTTATTATAAAAAAAGTGGCAAAAACCAAAAAAAAATGTATGATAGTGGTGCATTCAAAAATGATAAATCATTAAAGTTATCCAGCTTTATCGACATGTGCATTATGAATATAAATGTTGGCTGTTGACGGTATCAATTTAGTTTCAAATACTTTATGAAGAGAATATAATTATTCATAATCTGTATTAAATATTTTTTATTCAATCTTATCATAAATTGAACAAGTCAATGGTAGAAATAAAAAATTGATATTTTTTTAATTAATTAGATGCAAAATAAAATAATTTAACCGGTGGGCCGTGACATATAAACACATAATTATTATGCCTACGCTACGATTGATATTAAGTAATTCTTAAATTCTCGTGCTCCAATTTTTTTTAAATAATATACAATGAAACAAAATCATATATTATTATTACCAATACAAGTCAAAGAAAGTTCAAGTTCTCAAAGTTGATATTGTTTTCCTGGACGTTTTCATGTTCATGCAGCAGATTTCGCAGTAATTCAGATGCTGCCAAATCGTTTTCTGTTAAGATAGATTCCAAAAACTTTTTAAGCGACGAATCCGTGCTTAAATTGGTTTGAGACACAGTGCAAACCTCTTCGGCCAGTTTGTGAATTGGAAAGGATGGCCTGAATTTGTAATTTTGCAGTGCATCTTCATTTTCAGATCCGTTTTGACCACTTAGAGCGTTTGGAAAATACTCAATATTTGACTCTGACGTCTCTGACCTAATTTTGATTGTTTCATAATGATCATACTTGCCAATAAGTCCAAAAAATCTACTTTTCTTTTTGGATGTAACTTTGAATTTATCAATCAACTTCAAGCTTTCATTGACACCACCGTTGCCTCCAGAACCAAACTTGCCAGATTTCCCAGGACTAGCATCACAATCAATATCAACAGCGCCTGCCAAAATTTGTATTCCTCCTGCTGTTGCTGCTGCACCAGCATCACCTCCACGAAGACCATCCTCAGGAGGGGCTCCATAATTATCAATTTGAATTATCGTTGAACATTTCTTTTCGGTTAAAACCACTGCAGACGCTATTAATGATGTAACTGAAGCAAGCGCATTGGTCCCTGCTGCTATTGCTGCAATGGCTGAAGTGACTGACGCAGCAGGTAATGCCACTGTAGCTACAAACGCCGTCACTCCTACGGCAATTGCTCCTATTCCAGTTTTCTCCATTACATTCCACAATTTAGTTGATGTCTGATCGGGAACAACTTCCTCAACTAATTCGGATTCTATAACATTCTCTTCATTTAAAATCGTTAAATACTCGTCTCGAGTTAGCGTCTCTGGCAACTCACGAGTTGATGGACGTTGCGCGTCTCTTCCATCGCATCCGTGCTGCCCGTCGCTGCCGTCTCCTCCGACGCTGCGAACACATAAAAGAGACGCGTTTTTAACGCCGTTGGCAAGCAGTCGAAGGGATCCTGAGCTGTAACCTGGATTTCCATGCAGCGCCTTTGCACCATCACAGGCTCTTTCCTGCTCATGAGGGATCCCGTTCTCGCCTGCTAAAGTGAGAGTGCGTCTTTCATTAACGATTACGACCTGTGGTGCCATGATGACCAAGTGAGTGTTCTGCAGATGGACGTCGCAGTCGACATAAAAGATTTTTGCAGCTACAATGGCGATCGTGTGCATTCTGTTACTAGATGTTCTTATTTGAGTTTCAATGTGGCTCAAAGCGACGCTTTTTCCACTGAAAATCAAAGAGTTTTCCTCCGTCTTTTTACTAGGGGCTGGTGAAGCGCACGCTTGCAACACGTCTTTAAAACCCTTGAGCAAAGCTTCGTTGGGAATCAAGCCTGCGGCGGACGAAACTGTTATCTCGTTAAATCCTCGCTCACGCAACAAAGCCACGAAAGAATTGAAAAAGTCCACTTTTACTTCATTTTCTTTTAATTTCTTCAGGCAGTAGGACCGATCGTCCTGCAGGAGGTTAATCAGGAACGTGTGAAAGTTTGAGGTATTTTTAACGCGTGTCAACATTATTTTATTTCTCCCGAAGAGACCAGCAGCGTCTTTATCGAATTTTCCCAAGTCATTCTTGGCGATGCCATGTAGAAATCGCAACTTCACAACTTGGAATTTTAGATCGTCCCATGACTTAGAATCCAGCTTATAATAATTGATGACATTTTTGAAATCATCAAACTGTTTAATCTCACTGATGACATTCAATATTTCATTACAGACTTTTACAACGGATTCACTCTTCCTTTTCATGGTTTCAACGACCTCTGTGTCACTACTGATGACGTTGGCGTTTTTCTGCCATGCCATATCGCTTACGAAGTTAACAAGTCTACTCACAAGTCCGGTGTTTGCGGGATTTTCATTCGTATTTACCAGTAAATCAAAGCTGTTGATGACCAAGCTTACGATGTCATCGAGGAGATCCATGCTTTTCTTTGCCACATCCGGAAGAATCGTTTGAACGACGTGGTTCTTTGTTTCTGGAGCCACGGTAACGTTAAATTCATTTTTGAACGCTGACGTAGACTTCAAGTCACCAAAAAGAAGTCTGCGAAGTTGATTCCAGTTGTTAAGACCCTGTTTCCAAGGACTCTTCTCTTCTTCAGGCTTATAGAAATATTCAAAATGTGAACCCTCTAACATGAATGTAAGAATCTTGATTTGCCTGCTAAATTCTTCCTTGGCCACCTTTTCTTGAGCTTCATTCTGTAATTTTTCAAGGTGTTCTTTTGTCTTCTCAAGAAAAACTTGGATAACTTTCTGTGGAGCGTTGAGGTCCGTTTTAGTGGCAATAAGGCCGATTGATTTTTGGAAAGAATCAACGTTTTCGTCGATGAGAGCCGACAAGTGCTTCAAATTGTTAGTGAACGCGGATCTGTCCTGACCTACCAGTAGATTGCTGTAATTCTCGACCAAAACGATGATCATGTTTTTCGCTGAGTCGAGGATGTTTTTGTTGATGAAAGCTACTATCAAATCTTGCTCTGGACTTCTCGTGTCCTCAAAACCTGCGCAATCAATCAGTAAGTAACCAGAGTCACTGTCCTTGTTAATATTGGGTTGCGTAGTTTTAGACTCTAAACAATTTTTACTTCCGATGGTGACATCGTTGTCAGTGAACTCCAGTAAATCTTGGATGTTCTTTGTTACCTTGAGAGATTTGTCTTCGCGTATAAACTTAGATAGCGTGCTCTTACCAGAGCCTGTTTTTCCAAGCAAAACAATCACTTTTGATTCATCATCTATGGTTTTTTTTATGTTGTATCCATCCTGAAAATCAAAGTTAGTAAAATTTAATAAATATTCATATAACATCAAAAGTATTTATTTAGAATTTACTCTAAGATATTTGTCCAGTTCCAGACGATTCTTGTCAGCCATGGTCACACCACTAAAAAAAAAAAATAATCAGCAAACATTTTAATAAATTTATTAAATAACGATTGCGTTATCAAAATATTTTCAAATTGTTTAATATATGTTAAAAATACAAAAAATTTGAATTTTTTCAGTATATAAGTGTTGTAAAGTGTAAATTTGAACTGATATTGCATGTCGTGGGCACATGAGAGAAAAATGAGCGTCCTGACATTGAGAAGTATTTTTGTAAACCCAAAATCTGACCAAATGCTAATTTATTGTTTTTAAGGCTAGGCTTAAATGAACTCACACAAACAATTAGCGTTAGTTTTAATAGAAGAGCAACTATAGAAGAGCATTTGAATCTTGAAGATAACATCACTAAAAACGTTTCGAAACTAACTTTTGTTTAACGATATTAATCACTATAATTTATTTATTTTCATATGCTGCGGGTAAGAAAAGAAAATTTGTTGCGGCACATTTTGAACCGGAGAGAAAAACCTTAAATTACCTGGAAAATGGAAAATTAAAGAGACGTCTTTGTGATGATTGCCTAGAAACACTCTGCTGAGAGCAGCAAAAGCAAAATGATAATGTAAACCAGAGTCAGATTAATTAATTAATTAGGCTTGTGCACGAAAATGTGCTCAATTTATACTCCCCGTCAAAAGTCTACCAAATTAATCTTACTTTTTTGATAAGTTCACCTACAAATTAAATATTTTTTCTTTTTGTGCTTGCCAGATTTGATAGTGAGTGTTATGAATAGATAGCGAGTACCATGATGGCAGAGCGGACTTAAGTGTTTTTTATCATTCCATTGTTATCAGCAAAAATTAATGCATTAGCACCTTGCTCGGCCATACATTCTTGCGTTTAACCCAAGGGTTAGATCATCATGAATTATGACAATGTATTTTATTTATGGAAATAAAGCACCTTGAACCAAATGTAAATTCAATGCCAATTAGCCTCTCATTCTAAATAAATGTAGTAAATATTAAAATTGAATAATATTTTCTTTTTAAAAACTTATGCAAATGATAAAACTATTTAAAAAATTCGATAATTATAATAGAACGATTGAAACTATAAACATGTTTCACGCTGTCACTATTTTGAGTCAAATTATCATATCAAATTGCTTTTCTGCCTTTGAATTATTGAAAATAATAAACCCAAATTAAATTAATATATAGGTTTCTCCGAGTCTTATCAAAATCACAAGAAGTTGATACTTAAAATTTCCAGATTTTTTCATACTTTTTCTTTTTTATTTTCTATGCAATAGCAATTTAATAGTGACAGAATTATATCATGGATGTAAGAAATGCTTCAGTAAGAAATCAGGAATTAAATATCTAGGGATTTGTAAAAATTCATATTTTATTTTTTATTAAGTCAGGCTTAAACGTTTCCCTAGAGGGAATATAATTAGTAAAATATATTAACTCCAAATGCGCTGTAGATTCATTTTGATATAAAAATTTTAATCAACGAGAAAGTGTATATAGAACATTGCTGATAAAATTAGCTCTCACATGATTATTTTCGCGAATGAACACTGAACTTTGCTCTTGAATGATAAAAGAATAATTTACAACAGCTTATCATTTCTCAGAACGATAAATAACAGCACACGGCGTTTGTTTTTAGGTTAAAATTGTGATTGAGATCTCACTCACTTTTTGAATCTTAGTGTCTATAACTGCTGTGAATGCGAGTAAAAATGCTTAAAAAAAATACCATTTGGGTGGTTTCACGATAGATTTAACTGGCGAAAATCATGAAAGGACCCATCCCGATTTTCACATATGATGTTGGGGTAGATAAAACGCTGTGCTCCCTAAAATTTCACTAGAAAATTTTGGGTGTTTTTCCGGGAAATACGAATTTCCAAAAAACAGAAAATATTTAATATCTTTGCTTTTATTTAGAAATTATTAATGTTCTCTTCGGTTCTAACCGTATCTTTTTAGCCCGACATCTATTCTGTTGACAACTTTTGTGTAGGTCAAAGGTCAAGGTCACTAAATTGCAAATTTCACTTTCTAACGCATTTTTCACAAAGATGCACCCCTCAGATATTTTTCAGGGTAAAGGAAAAATTTAGCCCCAAGTGTGTAGAACAAAACCATTGATTTTCAAAATGGGGTATATTTTTTTTAGATATTTATAGATGAATTTAACAAAGTAGTGTTTTTCAAAGCAATAAGCTATTTTTGACTGCTTTTTAAAATTCAATTAAAAATATCTCATAAACTAAAATAATTCCCATTTTGAAAATCAAGGGTTTTGTTTTAAACACTTGGGGCTACATTTTTTCCTATACCCCGAAAAATATTTGAGGGGTGCATCTTTGCAAATATTGCGTCAGAAATTGAAATTTCCAATTTTGTGACCTTGACCTTCGACCAAGGTTCGCGCATTAGAAAATTTTGATTGTTGCCGAGCGCTCTGATTGGGTACAACTTTACTTGCACCCAATCAAGAGAGCTCAATCAACAATCGAAAAATTTTCTGATGCGCGAACCTTGCCTTCGACCTACACAAAAGTTGTCAACAGAAAAGTTGTTGGGCGTAAAAAGATACGTATAAAACCGAAGAGAACATACTTAATTTCAAAATAGAAGCAAAGATATTTAATATTTTCTGTTTCTATCGCTTTATCGGAAATCTGATTTCCAGGAAAAGTACTCAAAATTCTCAAGTGAAATTTTACGAAGAGTATTTTCTCACCTAGCCCAACAACATATGTGAAAATCAAGATAGGTCATTTTTTGGCCAATTTGAGTAAAATCTATAGTAACAATAATAATTAATATCGAGTTAATGAGTTAAAAATAAAACAGTTTTGCATACCTCTTGGCATGGTCTTTAAGGTGATTAAGATGGGAGTATCCCAGCCTAGTAATTATTTTTTTTTTAATATTTTTGAGCAAATACTAATTAAAATTTAAAATTTAACGCATAATGTACCAAAAAGTACCACATTATATCTCTTATATCTCTTAAAAAATTTATTTTTGCTGATGTAGAGATTGAAGATAAATAAAGTAAATTATTTTGCAATACAAATCGCACTTATAAAAATATTTATTTGAATAATTTGATTTATCCCATGAACTCAATATTTTTTTTCTCCAATAAATCAAATTTTTTTGTTTCTGCTTTCTATGATCTGAGAGCTAGGCAACCGGCTGGGCACACATGCACGTGTTTGCTGCCTACCTTCCAGATAAAACGTACCTACTCCCTATACCATAATATTATTTGTAAGCGAAAAGAAGAAGCAAAAACCTTTGAACTGTGTTTTTGGGGATTAAAAGTTAATAAGTTGGCAATCGGATTTGCGAGTGGAAAAATGTAATAAGCGGGTTGTAATAAAAATTGGATTTGCGACTGCGAGGGTGCATTTGCATGTATTGAGGGGAGGGGGTGTCAATTACGCGGCGAAAGAGAGATTAATGAGCGCGCGCGGATTACTCTGAATAAACAGCAGCAGAGTCGAGGGAGCAATAAAGTATGGAAATGCGAACGGCCCTTATTGCTCCGCGCCAAACCCAAGAGTCAACTATAGGGTCATCCTTCTCTTTTCAAATCAATCTCCGTCGCCGCAGATATTAAACCATAATTGAATCAAGACCAGCAGCCGACGTATAAATCCAAACGGAGGGACACGCGCACCTAAACTTGCACCCTTTTCGTTCAAACACTTTCCCACAGCCACCCAAGTAAACTTTGTGTTCAATATGTGCGATTTAAATGTATTTTTTTTTATCAATACAGATTTTTTTAAATTTAAATATTTTTTAGCACTTATGAGAGTAAAATTAAGGCTTATCATAACGAAATTTTACCTTTTCATGCCACAAAAAAAGGAAAATAAATTGTTTCATAAAAATGTCTGATTTTGAATTTTATGGACACATATATTGGTGATTTTCCAAAATATTCTAAAATTCCAGTAATAAATGCTAAAAAAATTGTTGAGCCAACAAAAATTTGTTCAAGCAAGATTATCAAAGTCTTGTATAGAGTGAAATAAAAATGTTGAAAATTGCAGTAATTTTTAACTCTTCAGATAGCAACATTATTCCTAGCCGGTTGACAAGTTTTTTCTGCAATTTTTTTGGTTATAATAAACATTATTATAAATAAATTATTTTAAATTAAAACATTATTCTGTTTTTGTTTAAAGAATATAGTGAAAAAATTAATGTTTTGACATTTATAATACATTCACTCATTTGGAATTCGTGTATTTGAAAGTTTATTACGAGATAAATAATTGTTGGTGCGATTTTGTGAAAGCAGCACTTTGCCATTCTTAATTTTTCGCACACGCAGCGACCGCGAATATGAATAAGAAAAAAAAATGCCACGGCGCTCCTCTAGCTCGGCTGGCCGACGTAAAATTGGAGAAATAAATAATTCATGGTCGTAAATATGAAGACACTTCATAATTTACAAAATACGTCTCCGAACTAGGAGCGAGTCGGTGTGTGTTTTATTTAAACATTAAAACGCTGCTCGAGCTCGGCGCGATGATATAAATTTTTTACCTCTGGAAAATATTTCTAATGTCCGTGTTGTCATAAACAAAGAAATATCGCCTCTTGCCACCAGAAAAAATGTATGTATAAAAATATCAAATCTTTTTCTCTCTCTAGTCTCGGCTGAATAATAAAAAAGGGAAATGTGAAAAGGGTTAGGGCCGCGCTTTTGTTTGAAGACGGTGCGGCCGTAAGAAGCGCGATTTATTTCCTTATTTTCAGCCCCTAAAGAAACAAATTTATTCGTCATAGACACATGTATATTTTTATGCCAGATTTTTATCTTGTCGCTCGCTCAGGCGGTCCAACTCAAAGACAAAAGCAGCGCCCCAGACCCACAACATTTCAACACGAATTCCTCCGCTTTGTACAAAAATTCTCCTCTTGGACCATTTGTCAACCCGAAATTCCACTCTAATTTATTTATTAGCGACGAGACCCACGCATCTCTTTTTATCCACATTCTTGTATTTTTTTGATATTGCAATGAAAAGTATTTGAGAAAAAGAACCAAAGATATGCTCACAATCAGATAGAGATAAAAATTGGTTGAGTGTGTTTTATTTTATATAATCCAAATATTAATTTCAATTTCTTTTTCTTTATTATTTATAAAGAGGTCTCATTTCCGTTGAGGTATCCTAGGATGCATAACTCTAAAAAATAATATTGCTCCCCTTTGTGGGAATTTTCTAATTTTTGCATACATTAAATCTCACCGATTAAAAATAAAAATCAATGAAAATTTCACTCAAATTTTTATCCAGCTCCAAAAATATATTTTAAAAATTAAATTAATTGCATTTTATAGGAAGACATACAGAAGAGATCAATCAAGAAAGATTAGAAGAAAATTTAAAAATTCTGCACCTTTGCCGTTTCAAGGCGTAAATTTTAATGTATTTGATCCAAAATTCTTCCGACTTTTTCTTTGGCAGAACTTCCAGACTAATTAATTTAACTGGACTGATAAAAAAAAATACAAAATCGTTTCTAAGTTTCCACAGAGGCTGACTGAGAAGTGAGTACATTGAAAGATTTTGCATGGACCTAATAATTTAATCTAGTAAATCAATGAGATTTTGCAAAGGAGGTGCGGCAATAATAAAAATCGAGTATTTTTACTACAGCTTTTCAAAATAATTTGAAATATTCTTTTTTGATTAGATTTGAGTGAACTTTTTATTAGAATGAACAGGACAAGACAGGGAAAATCAACAGCAAGTTTAGTACGTTTAGTAAATAAATTTCACTGTTGATCTCCCGTGCAAAACCCCTTTTGCCACCACCTGATGCGGGCGCACATGCGTTTCTTGCCGCCAAAAATCAACAACAACAAAAACGAAGAGCGAAGAGTCTCATCTGGATGTGAGAGTCGCGTGTGCCTTTTCGCTGGAGTTCAATTGAACTAAAAATTGGACTAAACGTTCAGGATTCGGCCATTTCGGCTGCCGAAAAGTCGACTAGAAGATCGTCGGCTCCTCCCTGCTATCAAAGGTAGGTGCCAAAATTATCTCCACAGTCCACAAACCCACAGCCAACCCCACAGCTTTCATAAGTTTGCAATGCAAGCAGTTTCCTGTTGATTTTTTGAATACACAGTCGTGTACGTGGATGAAAGAAATCAAATTTTACTCTGCGTGAGTAGCTTTGATGTGATCTGAAGATTAAAAAATGAAGTTAAGCTAACTCGTTCTTGATCTATTCTGTAACTTTTTACATTCATATCAATTTCAATTTTGAAGGCATATCATGGCTTACTTGGTTTTGAAGACTTCAAAGATCATAATATATATTATATAGGAAAAGAAAGTGTGTTGTACGAACACATTCAATTTTCTTTTAAATGAATGTTTATGGGGTTCCAATGAGGGCAATTTATGCAATGAAAATAAGAAGAAAATCGGAGTTTAATTTTTTTATGATGTTAAAAGTTGAATTTGCTGTTAGGAATTTTAATTCCAAATCAATTGAATTCTAGAATTTTTTAATCTTTTATGTATAAACAATCCATATATTTAAATTTATTGGAAATTTAAAAACTCGGGATAAATTAGTATACAAATTAATGAAATTAAAAATCAGCAAATTCATCCATATTATCATTAATTGAAATTAAGCGAACATAAATAATAATTAAAACGGCAATTCTTTCAACAACGTTCATTAAATGTGGTCCATTTTATCCACATTTTTTATTTGAATTTTTTCTTTGAATTTCGTTTAACAAAAACCTTTAATTAATTTGAGACGGGGAGAGATTGGGTTTGATATTAAGAGTCACGCGAGAGCTTGTCATGGGATTTGCATTTTATCTTGCGGGTCCATCTGCTGGATATGACTTCTGCTTGTGACTTAATCTCGGTCTGTCCACCTAGACAAATGAATGGACTCCCCTCTTATCCGTCGCATCAATTAATCCTGTCACTAATTACGCATAATAAAACGCAGATTCTTTTTTGCCTTATTTTATAATCTTGATTTCAGAGTGAATGTCAGACGAGGCACACCTTTTGCAAAACATTTTTAAATTTATTTGCGCTGATGACGATCGGATGATACGAAAAATTTTATGAATGAAAAAGTCTCCGCGCAACTTTTTGCTGTAATCCGCGTCTAATTTATGAAACTCGCTTGCTCGTAAACACGCCAGAAAAATTGGTTGCTCTCAACTCTAATTTATGCAGCTCGGCAGTGTAATAATTATTAGTAGAAAAAGTTGAGGTTTGAATTGCCGTTCGCACACAATTCATCTAGATGAATACATACAAAGTTGAAAACTCAATTACAATTTAATACAAATGAAAAAAAAAATAGTTGATTTTAATTATAAATGATCTTTCTTGTTCCTGTGGAAAAAGCTTTTGTTATTGGTTGTGTATTTTTATCAACTATTCAATTCAATGATTTCCCTCTTAACAATTGCTTTTCTTTTCTTTTCTTTTGAGATTGCTGGAAAAACAATAAAAACTATTATCAAAGTGAAAATTTTGAATATTGCTCAAAATTACTTGCAAATAAAAAAAAATTAAGAAAAAAAAATTATAAAATTTGATACATGCAATGTTTTTTATCACATAAGTTTTTCATTTTTAATTGTGATTGCTCACCGGTTGCACAAATTTCTTTATTAAAACATCAAGCTAAATCAATACATCAGCAGTTAAATACTTATTGCTCTAGACTTTGTACAATAAATTGAACTGAAAGGTGATAAATAAAAATACACTGTTATTTAGCAAAATTAACTTATTTGCATTAAAAAATTAAAAAAAAAAAATATTGAAAATTTCTACCAAATTTCTTTGCATCGAAATATAAACCAAGTCTGAAATAAATGGAGGTGCGCGGCACAGGTTTTGTGGCGATAAAAATTACAATAATATACAAGTTGGAGCTTAGGTTCGATAGCATCTCTTGTTTGAACTTGTCTGCTCAAGAGAGCTGCTTATTTTTCCTTATCTCTAATCCTATTAACTATTATATGGAGAGACTGAAAATTCACAAACACCTGTGCCAAGATTTTTATTTTATTTCTTCGAACGAGAACCAATTTGATTAATGGCGTCGTTTGAATTAATGATTTTCCACAAATATAATTTGGCGCGCGGGGGAATGAGAAATATATACAATTTGTACCTTCTTCTTTTTCGGGGCGAATTTTATTTTTTATTTCGGTGCTTGACACGGCGCGTTACAAACGATGCTTTTGCTCTTTTGTGCTGTGTCGCAGGGACAGAAAATAATAATTCAAGGGCCGCGCCACAATGACAATGCTGGGGTAGGTCGCGGTCTCTTTTTCTCTCAGAAAAACCTTCCACGAATCCGTTATTGTGTTTTTCCACCTCCGCCGACGCATTCCAAACAAATAAAATACAAAAAATAAACGATTCCCGCAACCTAAACCAGACCTTCAGGAGGACAAAAAATGTACAAACTCAGAATTTGATTTTGCATGGTATTCAAAATTCAGCGATATTAACTCAATGTTGACCTCAAAATATTATACAAAAGTTCAATTGCTGAATTAAATATTTATGCCAATGGTAAAATTAAAGGTGAAATTAGAAATAAAAATTGTAGAAAATCAAAATTGTTATAAAACTTGCATCATAATTAATTTTTTTATTCACTCTTATGAAAGTATGTTCTGTAAGTTGAAAAAGCTACTAACAATTATACTTATCGCAAATTAAATAAGTCCAGAGTGAGTCGTTCTGATTTAAATTAAATGTGAGACTAACAAAAGTTTTTTTTATTAATTTTTTATTTTCATTTTTTTTAATGTTTTAATGATTTTTAATTTCTGTGTGTTTTATTGAAACTTAAGATTTAATGATTTTTTTGTTGTAGAATATTATGATATTCTTGCGTCTCTACTAAAAAAAGTAAAAATTTCTTGATTTAAACAAGATTTTTTTATTTTTTGTGATAAGAAAAATAAATATGAAATTGGAACGCTTTAATTCTTCTCTGAAGATCATTGCTCTCATGGAATATAAATAGACACATAAAATAATCCTAAATAATCTTTTTCTCAATATCAGCGTCTATTTATTTAAAATTTGAAATGAAAAAAGCGATTTTTTTTAGAATTTAATTTTACTATTTATGTAAATAATACTCTCAATTTTAATTTACATTTTTAAAAGTTTTTCTTTCAAAGAAAAAATTAATAAGATAAAATTCTTGAGTTGGGCGAACGTGTTGAATATGCTATATGTGCGTTTTGTGCGTGATGAATAATGGATTGGGGGTCTGTGTGTCTCTATGTAATGCGCGCGTCAACCTCTTTCTCTCTATTTTGCTCCTTCACAGCTCAAAGGGAGGAAAGATTTTGTTGTTTCGCCCTCGCGCTTTGTCATTGAAATGAGGTGGCGCGGGGGGTGGTCGGTCGGGGTGTCACGAACACAAGGGGTGGATTCGCCCCTCGGCTCATAAGGGATCATAATCTTATCTTGATCGGAACCCCCGCCCGCCAACGACACGCACACACGAAATTATTACTCCATTGGTTTGTCAAACAACTAACGCAGACAACAACAATGCGCGCGATCAAAACGTCGGGCCCTCGCGCCCGTAATTGTTTACATTTGCATTCCTAATCGCATCTTTCCTTCACTCCACACACGTGCAACCGATTCTAATAAAATCACATCATAGTCTTTTTGCATAATTGATTATTCCTTCAATATTTCACTTTCAATGTGAAAATCTCTGATCCTCAATTTTTTTTAATTTTGCTAATAATTTATTTGAATCAGTAATTATAAAATCTAATAATTTAAGAAATCGTTTTAAGTTTGATCATAACCGCAGCATAGTCTAAATTGAATATGATGAAAACCTGCAAATGTTCTGACCTTGCAGCTCATGCTGTAGCATTACATAAAATAAGCTGAATTAAATTTCATTTCAGTCGAGCGAGAAATATTACTGCACGCATAAATAAAGTGTTTTGATCTGAAAATGTATATTAAAAAAAAAAAAAAAATACAATCAAACTCAATTTCTAAAAAAAATTATAATTCAAATCTATGTTTTTAGAACTTTTAAAAACTTAATAAATTAATAAGTTTAGATTTAAAATATTAGTAAAATAAAACTTGGGGAAAAATTAATCAAAATAATTTACTAACTAATACTCCATACAAAAAGATGGCAAAATTTGAGTCGAGTAAAATTTTTAAGAAAATTTGATGCATTGCAATTGCTCGAGAATTGTACACTTGAAATATATTGACCAAAAAACTGTCAATAATACACCAAATATCTGCTGATCAAATAAACAAGACAATCAGATTAGTCAAAAAAAGATGATGGCGTGGTTGGTTTGAATTGGCTTGATTGCGATTGATGTGTGGTTGGTGGCGATAAGTAGCTCGCTTCGGCGGGCTATCAGCGATCTGGTCGGGCGGCGCGACAATGGCAGGTAATCAGGCTCGGCCACCCGCATTGTTGTCCCTTATCGCGACCCATCGGCCCGAACCGCATCTGGAATTTCTCCTCGCGCATCAAAACACGTGTCCTTTCCTCTTTTCTGTTAACAAATTGAACTCTCTGCGTTCAGGGATTAGGCATATATGTTGGTGTAGGTCATCAACCTGCTGTCAGGTGCGTTCGCGTGGAAGCCATGCGATTTGAGCACGAAAGGGGTTTTGTGTCTTTTTGATCAGGAAGAATAACAGGACGGGGTGGTCTTTCTCCTGCAACAAACATTTTCACGGTGGTCTTTCCAATAGGAATAAAAGTAATTTTCATAAGAATGAGAGTGGAAAAATTGTTGTGATCTCTCGGTTTTCGGCTCACAAAAGACTGTTGTGATAATTCTAACAACATTCACCAAAATGTTGCAATTCTTTGAAAAAAATTAAGTAATATTTTTAAATTTTTAATTATTTAATATATTTAATTAAATAAATTGGATTTTAATGGAATTTTTTGATGATATTCTTAGATTTTTATACATTTTAGATCATTTGCATTGAAATTAATTA